AAAAAGGGTCCTAGCACCTGGTCACAAGGCATGAACGGAGCTCCGGGGTGCCCTATAGACTATCCTATGCACTAGGATTCCAACAACCATTCACTTCATAGGCTATTGTTGGATGTCAGGGCCAGTTTCGCCATGCCATTGACGGTTCCCATGCAAGGTTATGCAGGTCATTGTGTCCGTTTTGTTGTGCCACGATGTGCCATGTCCATGACTGGATATCATGGTCAATGCAATGCTGCAGCTCCTGGCGGTACTACTAGTAACAAGAAGCTATCCTTCACTTTCTCGCCCTTCCGCCTCCTCCAAGTTCCCGGCTTCCAAGGTCTCGGCATCCTTCTCGGCTTCCAAGCTGTTACTCCGGTGGGGAGGTTTACAAGGATTTCACTAAGAACCACATTGATTAAGGATCTTACACGGCAAAGCCAACTCAACCGCTCTCTTTTAAAGGATCTTTGAAGGCCAGGGTTCGCTATGCTTGGCCCCCTGGCCATCCCGACAGCTGGGGCCACGAGTTGAGGGAGATTGGATGTTGACACATGTTGACGTGCTGAGAACATCTTCCGCCTCCATTATGGTGGATGATTCATGGCCAGTTGTGGCCTATGTCACAGGCAAGCTGAGCAAAATCTCGAGACATACTTCTTGATAGACAATCTCCTGCACATGAAACGGGTCTCCAAGAAAATAACAGATACAAAGACTTAGACTCTCTTGGCGCGTATCTCACCAATCCGATTCTTTCCAAAGTCCTATAGGAGCCAGTTAAAGGGCCCAAAGTGTACCACATCACACAATGTTGACGGTGTTGATGTCAAAAACAGGAGGGTTCTAGATCTCCATGTCATCAACAGCAGGGTTCTACATCTCCATGGAGATTTGGAGGGTTATGTGTGTATACCAGGAGGCCCTAAGGGGTGCCAATTGGTGGTAAGGGGTGTCTTTTAACCACCCCTTAGGGTCCAAACAAATATGATAAAGACTATTTAGCAAGTATGGTTGACCTGGGGTAGTCTACAATCGTAGTAAACAATGTTTGCTCCAGAAAACTGACTATGAAATCAATATAAATCAATCGTGGGCCGAGTCCATCGCCCTGGGTTTGAGTCCCTCGGATTGGTGTGGGCCGCCCGGCCTTTCCAAAGGCCACGATCGCAGCTTCGAGCAACATGCAGGCGGCCACCGTGCCTCGCTCCCGGTCGCTCGACGGAGCCCGGCGGGCGCGGCACCGGAATGGCCGGGCGAAGGGCTGAAGACCTACGACTGGGCTGAAGACATGGCAGTGTTCTTATGAGTGGTCTGATCAGATCATGCCCCACATGACGAATGGGACTGCCATATAGGACTGCCGCCCCAGACAGACCCCTTCTCAAGCACCCCTGGCCGTTTCTCGGCCTGATCGGCAGTCTTATTAGTTGTGTCAGATCATTGGGCTGGAACGTCCAGTTGTGACTCCTTCCTTTGGGTCCCTTGGCCCCTTGGTACTGTTGGATTGTCCCGGTGCCAAAGCAGTGGATTTGCGTGTCTGCGGTGGCGCTGGGGGCAGAAGCTGGAGCGTTCGCCGATTCAGCCAACAGGGAGAAACAAGCACATCACCCCAACGCTCGGACTCAACAATTCACTCACATGGAAGTGAATGGCATGGTCCCGAAAAGAAGACTACTTTCATCTATAGTTTCCCTATGTGTCCCTTACGAACAGGGGG